TACATGTTCCCAAAATTGATTTTGGATTTTTGAGGTATTTTGACTTTTTGAGATTTATGCAAAATCTATTCTATATATGGAAGTAAAAAAAGTACCTAGTTATATGTATCTTTAATCAAAGAATAAATCTGGGTAGTCAAAAAATTTCAGGTTTTAAGTAAAATAATTTCGTCTTCTATGAAAAACTATTTCGACTTTTTTCTCCGAAATTGCAATTTCGGGGCCCCAAAATAATTTTGCGTGCAAGTATAGCTGAGGTACATTCCTTTTTTTTATTTAATTAATTTTTAATTTTTTTTTCATTAAAAAAAAAGAAAGAATAATGACATATTAATATACAGTCTGATCTCTCTATAACTACCTCTCCATAATAACTGGTTTATAAAGAGAATTTTTATATGATGTGCTTATAAACATATAGAAGAAAATCCTTTATATAATCACAACCTCTATATAAGTACATTTTAAAAAAGGCACTATGACCCTGATGGTGTGATTATAGAGAGGTCAGATTTTATAATAATAAATAATAAATAATAAATTACTTAATTTTTCCTTTTTGAGTTGCCTATTATTCTTACTGTCTTAAAGAATTGTACTTCCAAATAGATTTTGCAAATTTGCAGATTTTTTGAGTTATACTAATTTTTATCCACATTATTTTTGAAACATGAATATAATTTTGTTAGCTGAAAGACAAAACAATTTAGAAATTAGCAAATAATGATTGATATAAATTATAATATTTATAAATGACTAATGTAAAAGAATTGCGAAATGTCCTCAAAATTACTTATATCCTTAAGCATATATAAATTACTTATTTGAATAAACCCTTGATTTACATAGAAAATTCATCACATTTAACTACTTGAATTTTTGTAAAATATATTAAATTTCTTCTTTAAAAATTTATGTTCTCTGTATAAAAAAGATACAGAAATCAGCTGAAGGAAGAAATAATTATGGGCAGATTAGAACTGAAACCACGAAAGATGAGATCCAGATCAGCATGAGTAATTTAATTTTTATTATTGAAATCAAAATTTCATGTTCATCCAATATATTAAATAATACTTAATCATTTTTAAACAATTACATGCACATTTTATTAAAACTGTGAGTATTTTAATTTATAATCAATCTATGATTGTGAATTCTTCTTAATTTGATTTAATGTCAAATAAAATTTCGTTAATTAATTTTTTTGCATATGCACATGTATTTAAGGAGTAAATATCTAAATCATAATTAATTTATTGATGTCAATGTTTAAAGATATTTTAAAACTTTTCTAATTTATTACTAATTTCACATTAATTACATTATTCACAATTATTCATTTATGTAATATAATTATTATAGGGAGTAAGTATTTAGATTTACAGTCATTGAAATCAAAGTTTCAAGTTAATTAATCATCAAAAGACACTTCTCTAATTAATTAATTCAAATAAAATTTATTAATCAACAAATTGCATATACATACATTTTGTTGAAGAGAGTATCTATTTAGATTTATAATTATTAATAACAAGATTTCATGATAATATAACACTTCACTTCTTTAATCAATCATCAATCAATTCAATTGCAACACATAATTATTATAGGAGTTTATGACTATTAAATCAAAATTTCAAGCTAATTAAATGTCAAATATCTAACCAATTTGTAATGTTTCAGTAATTTTGATTCATAATTATTAAAATCAAGGTTTATTAACAATTATTAATCAATTGTGTATGCACATTATATTTCAGTGAGTAATTGTTTTGATACACAATCATTGAAATCAAAGTTTCAATATCAAATAATTATTCTTTAACCAATTTTCAATCAATATTTAAATTTATAAAGATTAAATCTTTATAATTAGAAAATACTAACTCAACAAATAATATGGTATAAATATAAAATCATTTTATTATTTTTCTTTTCCTTTTGGGAAAAAGGAAATTTTTGACTTTTTAGAAGAAGAGTATTAGATTCATCCGAATTTTTTTAGTTCTTCTCAAAGTAAAGAATTCTCATGTTGAAATAATAATGATAATAATAATAAAAGTAAATAAGTAGCCACAGAAAAGGCTATCATATACTTATCTTTAAAATTTAATAAAATTATTTTGCCTACAATTATTCAAATGTTATTATTATAAAAGAAAATACTTTTGTTTTCTGCAACACTATTTTAAAGAGAGGCATAAAGACTCTGTTAATTTTTTTTCTAGACCAATTTTTCACAATCCAATATTATACTTATTCAAAAACTTTCTTTAAATAAGGTTTATTTCAAGAAATTTTATCATTATTTCTGCTGGCCAGTTTTTTTTGTAATTATATTAGCTAATAAATTTTTTGTTGGGATAATTAATGCTTAAAACTTGCTTCCAAATTAAATAACATGGAGAAGGGATTTTGTAATAATATTTGAGTATTAATTATATATCTCGGAACATGAATCGGTTTACCACAATTTTCGATATATGAAGATATCATCAAAAAGTTATAATTGCATTCCATAATGAGTAAATCGTGAGTAATAGCAAAATAATAATCTATCTACTAATGACGTGACGATAATCTGATGTCCTAATAAATAACATGATAAAAAATAGTTTTTTTTTTCTATAGCAAAATTAGATATACAGTACGTATTTTTATTGTAATTACAATCAATTTTATATATTCCATATTAATTCTGTCAAGTTGCGAAAATTCGTAATTTTTGGAAAAGAAAAATCTGTTGATTAATGAATTTGATACTACATGTTGAAGCGAGTTCCAATATATGATAGAACAATATATCAATAATTGGACATCATAAACAATTCTTTTTTTTTAACCATTAACCACTGAGAAGCTATTTCAAACAAAGAAATCATAATCATTATTAATTGAGGAATGTTTAATGTTTGTTTTTCTTTAATTGAAAAATTGGAAGCATAAAGCAGTTCGTTCTGGCTTGCTCCATAAAAAATGGTGCAGCTATTTGACACCTATATCGATTGGTTAATGAACATGAAATTATATTTCGTCTTCGAGATAAAATACTTTCATTTTCATCATCTTTCGCGAGAATTTTGATAACCTCGCGTAAACACAATTTAAACAAAGTTCCTGCCACCCGATTTCAAAAGTAGCAATATTTTTGTTTATAAATTAATTAATTGAATTAAAATTTTGAACAAATATTTAAGAAATGAAATTCTTGAAGATGAAGACATGTTTTTAGAATTTAAAAATTACGACCTTAAAAATTTCTCTGTTATAAAATTTATAAAATTTTGTTATTGGTCCTTAATTTTTATTAATTGCGTGAAATTATTTCAAAAACCATTTTACTGCAATTACCTCAAAAGTATGTTTTATCATTACATTTTTTTAAATTCACAAATACAAAAGATCTAAATATGGAAAGAACAATGGACCGTGGACTTCCAGAGCACAAAAAAAAAAGTTTCGTAATATTTCGACGAAGAACATTAAAATCTAATTATAATAAAAAAAAAAATAAATAAACGCGCAATCATGTTTAACACTTCGCACCAAGCATCATTGCAAATAGCCATAAAAAATTTTAAGCGATAACAACACAGTAATAACACTTTTAACATCTTAAATCACGCATATATTTTTTTTAAGATCGGTGCGATCTATTAGATCTATCAGATCTTTCCTAATTTCCTAAAACAGTATATCAAAATTCACGTGGGCCAAGCCTCACGTTATGATTTTAAATAGAGGCTTCGCCTAATTAACCATTTAAGAAAATTATTGAGCCACGATTATCTTGAATCTTCCGATACTATAGTTTTACTGATCCAGATAAATAATGTCATATTGTAATATTGTAATATTATTAGTTATATTAATTATTGAAATTTTTAAAACGCCAAAACCGTAATGATCGATATTAGTTTAGTTAAGGGTTAGGGTTAAAGTTATGGATAAAAATAGGACTTGTATTTAATTTTGCAAGAAACATTTTTGTTATGATTTAAAAGGTGATTCATAATCAAAATTGAAAGTTAAAAGCATTTTTTTTAAAATTCATTCTATCTTGTTTTGATTTGGTAAGATCTGACGATTTATTGGCTAAATTTCATTGGTAGCATATACGACCTTCTTGTTTGCTAGAAATCAAAAATACAAAATACAAAATACAAAAAACACGATTAATTCATATTTTGATGAGATTCATCAAGAAACAAGTCGATGGCTGTGAAAATATCATCTCTCAAATTTGTTAGTTGTTATACGTATGAAAATTTCATTTGCATAGCCATATTTCATTATTTAGTTTTAGTGTGACCCGAAAAAGGATGTACGTAAATGATTTTAATTACTTACGATAAAATAAATTTAAAGATAAAAGAAATTTCCTCGGCATAATCTTATTTTAGATAAATTCGAGTTATTTTCTTTATTTTTGGCATCCGATTTGTACGATTAAGACATGTACAAGTAGAATAGTATATTTAATATAAAAATAGAACATATAATGGGATGTAATCTTGTAATCTCAACTAACAACCAATAATCCGATCTAAAGATGAATTACATTTTACAGGATCGAAATTATAAAGATCCAATAATTTAAATAAAATATAATACAGGCTTACTTGATTTTTTATTCTCGTTACATCATCATAGTAAAGGTAAAAAAAAAGTTGGTTTGGATTTACGATTCTTGATAATTTACTCGATGTGGCTCTAAATACCTACGTATATAGAAATTATTGATATCTAATAAAATTCCTAATTATATATTCAAACAATGTAATTATAAAAGCAAGATTTTTTAGAACGTAGTTATTTTCGGTTGATTTTAATGTTACTCCGTGGCGCTTATTTCGATTATAATATGATAGATATTATTGATTTATCCTTTACAGTAAAATTATAGTTATTTCATGTTTCGTTTCGTGTATGATTCGAGTACTGATGCACAAGTAATTGAGGAGTTTCATTATTAAAATTTTTGAAAATGGTTGAACCTAGAAAAGAACACAAGGATTCATTAAGAATATAAAAAGAGGTACATTTTTCTCTCCAATCCGTTTCTAAGCGAAAAAATCTTAATTAAAAAAAATAACAATTCGCTTTTCGACTTTTTTTAAGAACACCCTTATAAAAGAATATTAAGAGCATTTTTTCTTGTAATTTCATTACAATAATGAAAATGAATACAAAATTTAAATTTTTTGCTTTAAGCATAGTTATTCTCTCTATAATCTTATCGGCTGCCGCAACAAAACAATCAACTCCTTCAACTCCACTATTATCAACTCCACTACCATCAACTCCACAACCATCAACTCCACAACCATCAACTCCCAAACAATCAACTCCTTCAACTACACTACTATCAACTCCACAACCATCAACTCCAAAACAATCAACTCCTTCAACTCCACTACCATCAACTCCACAATCATCAACTCCAAAACAATCAACTCCTTCAACTCCACTACCATCAACTCCACAACCATCAACTCCACAATCGTCAACTCCAAAACAATCAACTCCACAACAATCAACTCCACAACAATTAACTCCACAACCATCAAAACCAAAATCATCGACTCCATTATCATCAATTCCATCAGCATCTACTCCACAACCATCAAAACCGAAATCATCGACTCCATTATCATCAATTCCATCAGCATCTACTCCACAACCATCAAAACCGAAATCATCGACTCCATT